CTGATTATTGTTTTGGAACAGTTGAAAAATAGTGAACCCATCCTTTAACTTGAAGAGTGAGTTCTTCATGTAACTCACTTCTTCAGTATTTATGTAAGTTAAAGTCATTGTTATGGCATCCATTCAGTGAGTGCAAATAGAAAATTGAGTCTAGGTATAATGTTTGCTGACTTTAGTTTCAGTGTTCAGATTAATAAAAGCACTTTGTGTGGCAGCTTATCACAATGTTTTTTGCCCCTTATTGGCCTGTTTACAAAGATTCTAGATTCAGCTTTATGCCAGTGCAGTACATTAATGTTTAGATTACAGTAGCACAAAATAAAACACACTGACTGTTCTGAGCAGCAAAAGACATTAATAACTTGCACAAAGAAACCAAAATCTATTTAATAAATCAGGAAAGACTGTGACTTATTAAGCAGACTTCTCATGTCATGAAAGAGGTGCATAAGAAAGAAAAACTTAATAGCCACACTGATCAGCAGACCAGCGCTACCTCCTTACATTTTCAGTCTTCAACAGCATGGATGAAACATCAGTATCAAGTAAAACACTTTACATACACTACCACAAAAAGGTTTGGACACGCTTTCCCATTCAGTTCAATAGAAAGGTCCAAACCTTTGACTGGCTGTGTACAGCAAAGCAAGCCCCAGATTGACATCTTGTCTGTCTGTGCTTGTCACTGTCTGACCTCATAACATAGACAGACAACTCTGTCTAGTAAATTATAAAACTGTAAATGATAAAACAGTGTTTACCTGTATCTCTGCTTTTGAACTTACTGATGTTACTCAGCAGTATGACAACTCCCTCTTGTGCACCAGGTGCCAAATTTCACTTGGCTGTAAGTAAGTGATATAATTCAGAGGTAAGATGGATTTCAATAATATGTGTGCATATTAGTCTATGGTTGTGCATAAATTAATACTTTAACCTGACTGTTGAAAAATGTATGCTACGGGGTCAGGCATGATGCATTAAGCAGAAGATGCATCGATTCCACAAACTGCGCATGCGTTCAGAGTTTGACTTTATTCTTGTCTCTTGAAGCCTGATGGATGTGCTTTGACAGATATGAACTGATACTTTGATTTAATAGATATGGACTAGATATATTAAAATAACGTTAGTTTTATTGATGATTAGTGAATATTATGACCTCTTTTGGAATCCGATGGGGAGCTCTCCAGTCAGCTAGCTAGCTAACGGGTCGCTAACATCTTTTCCCACCTGCTGCGGGGTCTCAAGGCATAACATTACAGCAAAGTTCACAGCAAAATCCCCGGACATCCACAGACAGTTTGAGCACCAGCAGCAAGATGTACATCTGCTCCATGCTGACAGCGATCCCATGGTAAAGGTAAGTGAGCTTGTTAATACAACATTAAAGTACAGTGGGTATGGAAAGTATTCAGACCCCCTTAAATTTTTCACTCTTTGTTATGTTGCAGCCATATGCTAAAATCATTTACGTTCATTTTTTTCCTCATTAATGTACACACAGCACCCCATATTGACAGAAAAACACAGAATGTTTGACATTTTTGCAGATTTATTAAAAAAGAAAAACTGAAATATCACATGGTCATAAGTATTCAGACCCTTTGCTGTGCCACTCATATATTTAACTTAGGTGCTGTCCATTTCTTCTGATCATCCCTGAGATGGTTCTACACCTTCATTTGAGTCCAGCTGTGTTTGATTGGATGTGATTAGGAAAGCCACACACCTGTCTATATAAGACCCTACAGCTCACCGTGCATGTCAGAGCAAATGAGAATCATGAGGTCAAAGGAACTGCCTGAAGAGCTCAGAGACAGAATTGTGGCAAGGCACAGATCTGGCCAAGGTTACAAAAAACTTTCTGCTGCACTTAAGGTTCCTAAGAGCACAGTGGCCTCCATAATCCTTAAATGGAAGACGTTTGGGACGACCAGAACCCTTCCTAGAGCTGGCCGTCTGGCCAAACTGAGCTATCGGGGGAGAAGAGCCTTGGTGAGAGAGGTACAGAAGGACCCAAAGATGACTGTGGCTGAGCTCCAGAGATGCAGTTGGGAGATGGGAGCAAGTTGTAGAAAGTCAACCATCACTGCAGCCCTCCACCAGTCGGGGCTTTGTGGCAGAGTGGCCCGACGGAAGCCTCTCCTCCGTGCAAGACACATGAAAGCCCGCATGGAGTTTGCTAAAAAACACCTGAAGGACTCCAAGATGGTGAGAAATAAGATTCTCTGGTCTGATGAGACCAAGATAGAACTTTTTGGCCTTAATTCTAAGCGGTATGTGTGGAGAAAACCAGGCACTGCTCATCACCTGTCCAATACAGTCTCAATAGTGAAGCATGGTGGTGGCAGCATCATGCTATGGGGGTGTTTTTCAGCTGCAGGGGCAGGACGACTGGTTGCAATCGAGGGGAGGATGAATGCGGCCAAGTACAGGGATATCCTGGACGAAAACCTTCTCCAGAGTGCTCAGGACCTCAGACTGGGCCGAAGGTTCACCTTCCAACAAGACAATGGCCCTAAGCACACAGCTAAAATAACGGAGTGGCTTCACAACAACTCCGTGACTGTTCTTGAATGGCCCAGCCAGAGCCCTGATTTAAACCCAATTGAGCATCTCTGGAAAGACCTGAAAATGGCTGTCCACCAAGGTTTACCATCCAACCTGACAGAACTGGAGAGGATCTGCAAGGAGGAATGGCAGAGGATCCCCAAATGCAGGTGTGAAAAACTTGTTGCATCATTCCCAAAAAGACTCATGGCTGTATCAGCTCAAAAGGTGCTTCTACTAAATACTGAGCAAAGGGTCTGAATACTTATGACCATGTGATATTTCAGTTTTTCTTTTTTAATAAATCTGCAAAAATGTCAAAAATTCTGTGTTTTTCTGTCAATATGGGGTGCTGTGTGTACATTAATGAGGAAAAAAATGAACTTAAATGATTTTAGCATATGGCTGCAATATAACAAAGAGTGAAACATTTAAGGGGGTCTGAATACTTTCCGTAACCACTGTATACTGTATCTCAGTATGGTGCCAGCTGCTGCTTAATGAAAACTGTTTGGTACTGAACAGAAACATACAGTAAAACCAGTTTTAGATGAACACGGGCCTTGTGGCAGCTGAGGTTTTCTGCTTACTTGATGAAAAAAATGATTGACACATACTGTGGGATAAAGTAAATTCATGATCTTAAGTGTTGACAAAATCATGATGACATTCAGTCCCTAAAACTGAATAGGCAGCAGCCTGCTAACGAGCTAAGTTACCTCTACCATGGATTTGCTGTGTCAGCACGGAACAGATACACATCTTTCAGCTGGCACTCACACTGTCCTTGGACATCCAGGGATTCATCATGTTGGAACTCTGGTACAGTGAACATTGCTGTAATGTTATGCCTTGAGAGCTGACAGCAGGTGGAAAAAGTGTTAGTGAGTTGTTAGCTAGCTAGCTGACTGGAGTGCACCCATGTCCACTGCGGATTCCAAGAGGGGTCATAATATTGACTAATCATCAATAAAACAAAAGTTATTTTAATATACAGTTCCAAGAAAAAGTAATGGCAATGTTTGCGATTTCCTGGTTTTCTGCATAAATTGGTCATGAAATGTGATCTGATCTTCACCAGAATCACAAATATCAACAAACTATTTCTAAGCTGATAAAACGTGTGTTCAATAAAGACATGAAAGATCAGGACTGTTGGTGTTTTATCAGCTTAGAAATATTGTATTTGTTGATATTTGTGACTTGGGTGAAGATCGCGTCATGACCAAATAATGCAGAAAACCAGGAAATTGCAAACTGTGCCATTGAAGCATTGTGGTAGGTTGACTGAGTGGCCAGGAATGTAGGAGACAGACTCGAAAAAGACATCAGGTTTTCTCAAATCAGTTATTTTAAACAAGTGCCAGCAAAGCACACATGCCAAACAAAATCACTAAACAAACTAAATGGTTTAACTTCACATAACTGAAGAAAACTCAACACAACTTACAGGCACGTGCACACCACTACACTTAGACTACCATACTACCAGCTGCTCCACCTCAGCTGATTAAGTAGCTCCTGGTACCAATCAACCCTATGACATCCTTGATGACATCAGAGAGCATACAAAATGAGGAAGTGATGAACCTAGTAAATACAAACATTTAACACACAGGTTAAGGCATTAGGAAACATACATGACTTAGCCTAGGGACAAGTGGAGTGTTCTCACCCACTTTGTCACAATGACCATCAGGCTTCAAGAGTTGAGAATAAAGTCTAACTTTGAACACTTGCGCAGTTTGTGGAATCAACCTTTCTCTCCTGCTTAGAGTATCATGCCTGTGACCCCGTGACATATTTTTGACAGTCAAGTCACTGCTGTAAATTCGTATTCATATCGAGGAAAGCACAAAACCGAAGTTTTCACTTTGTATTTGTAATTTCTTGAAGTTGCAACTTTTTAAACATTCTCACAGATAAAATACACACTACATATTTTATATATGATTTGACTTGTACAAGAGTTTAGAAGGTGGTGTTTTTGTACAACTTATTAATTTATGCACAATCACAGACCAATACACACACATATTACTGAAATCCATCCTACCTCAGAATCGCATCACTCATGCACAGCCATCTAAGTCTTAATGACATGAAAACCATCACTTTGACTTAGAGATGAGACCAGACAGGATAATGGTGACTTGAATAGGACAATTTAAGATGTATCATTGGTATTTGTGATGTCTCAGAAATTATTTGGAATGATCCTCTGCAAACTGTGAATGTACATTTCAAATTTGCTTCTTCACCAAAGACTGTGTCGCAAAGATCAAAATACAGCTGTTGTTCTTTTCAGTGTTTAATTACAGTGCCACAACAGAATCTGCAGCCATTGTGTGAGCTTTCAGCATAGTGTCAATGGGAACTGAACAGCTTCTCAGCAGAGCTCTGTGCGGTTTAAAACCCCAGTATTTTACTGTTAATTAACTAATAAATGACTCAGGCTTTTTGTTTGTTAGCAGGACCTTCAGTCCACATCTGTATTTTCTTTCTCCACGTACCCTGGCATTAGTTTAAAGTCCATTTCTGTCTGTCCTTCTGTACCAGATTAAGCCTGTGCATAAGCCTGCTCATACTCCTGAGGATGATGCAGTGAAGGAAAAAAAGAACCCAAAGGAGAAGAAACTGTTCCCTGCACCATGTGACAGCTCAAGCGCAGAGAACGGCATGGAGGACAAAGAACAAGACCAGCCAAATGGAGACAGAGAGGAACACGGGGCTCTCCGCCCACCTGAAAGTGCCTTTAGCAGTGACTTCAAGATGTGCAATACTATTCCTCACTTAAATGCACTAAACATAGACAGCAGCTGCCAAAGAGATGAAGATCTGGAAGCCGTTGTCTTACAAAATGAAGCCTAAGCCTATTTTTCTAGTGAGGGTGAAAGATGAAGAGGGCGCGGGGTTATAAATTATCTGCAAACTTAGAAAACCTACAGTCAATGTGCATTTTTCCCCTGTGACAAAGAAGCGAGACAAAGTCCAGACCCCTCTCAGTAAAAATATGATCTGTGACACACTGCTAGTGTAAGGAGTCATTCACTCCACCTCACTAAGATTTCTGTTTTTGTCAGAATGGCATTAAGGCTTAAATTTGGAAATATTTTAGTTCTTGTAGGTTGATACTCTTCCAATACATGTACCATGTACTATGATCCGTTTTGTGTTGTCACAGTAAACATATAACCAGAAAAACTAAAATGCGACATGTCCACTTTAAGTTTAGTTCATATTTAAACAACTCTGTTAGTTCAGATGAACTTCATGCAGTTTCAGCCATTTAGCTGTAAGATTTCAAGACAGGCCTCTAAAATCTGATGCAACAGATCCTGTCAAATTCTGATGCTCAACTTGGTTTCTTGAGTCAGACATAGGCCTGTAGTATTACCGCCTGAACAAAAACCGTCTGCATGGTTCACTAGGTTAAGAGTTGTGTAGTTATTATGCATGTTGTCCTTTTTCTTCATCCTTACATACTGTGCCCATTTGCAAATTAACCAGATGGCTAATGTTAGTGATAGCGTCTAAATGACATTAACCTTTAGTAAAAGATTTGTTCTGACATTGAATTTTTTTGCAATATTGATCTGTTGCTTTTAATTTAAACTTAAGTAGCCACTTTGAAATAGTGTATTTGTACTATATTGTTTGCTGTTAGAAAGAAAATTCACTTAAAATGCTTTGATCAAACTCCCCTCCCCCGTAGCTAAAGGCAACATGCTCAACCTTCTGATTGTGAGTTTCTACACCAGAATTACTTAACATTTCCACTTAATTCTCCTAAAGCTTGTCATTTTTCATTAGTGATCAGACAAAGAATCCGCTGGCCAGAGCTAAATAGGTTACTTTCTGTGTAAGTTGATCAGAGTTTCTTCCTAACTCATGGATCGTCAGACTGAACTGCTGTCATGTGTGATTGAATGTTGATGGATTGTGGTGTGGTGTATTTGAAAGCAACTTCGCTATAATGCTTAATAAATCTATATTCTTTTAGTATACAATGTTGGTTGGTTATTTATCCGTCATCATACTGTAACAGCATGGAGACTTGAACTTTTCACTTTGCTCACTGACTGGCTTCCTGCATATTTAAACATCTCTGCATGAACAAATCTGCTCAATGTTAACGGGCAATGTTATCAAATCATGGGTTTTAAGGTTTTGCCTTTTACAAGATATATATTTTCAAACTGATGTCCTAGTTAAAAAAAAATCTAAGACAAAAAGTCTCAAGATCAATGTGCACTAAGGATTTATTACATGTGATTTTAATAGAATTTTTTTAGACTGATAAATATTTTTGACATTGCCAACTATTTTTCGAGCGCTTTCAAACCAGCTCTGGATGGAGTTTAATTGTTGTTGCAAGTTTGTTGAAAAAGTGCTGTTGAGCATGTTTATTGATGGCTCCATCTTCATAACAACTGAGCAAATTTGTTCTCCCAGTGACGATCATACCATAGCTCTGGAGCGAGTAAATAGACCTGGGCTTTTCCCCTTTTTGTCTAACTAGTATTTCTGAGGTTAAGAGTTGACTTAAATGCTTGATATAAATGTGTTATTTACTTTATTATGCAGCCAAGTAGCAGCCTATGTAACAGTACTATGTAATAACAAACCAATGCAAATGGAATTACTTTTTAATATTATCAATTGACATGTTTTAAGCAAATAAACGTAAGTAAAGCTCTACTGTGCACGTTGTAACCGAGTGAATCATCGAACTTGGAAGTGATGATAGGGAGTAACCGTAAATTAATAATTTAGTTATGTCAACATAGTGTTTCATAATGATAATGCCTCTAAATCATAATACTGCATATACTCTATTAATTAAATGTTTTAATTTAAAAACACTTTAAATTTAAAACTCATGCATTGGCCTTGAGGTGCAGGAGCACTGATCACTACTAATAACAATAAATAATTTTTGACTTTTTTAATGAATGCTTTTCTTAAAATCTGAATCGGCCAATAAAAACAACATCTGTAACATAGGTGCTGCTTGTAACTGTAAAATAAACCTTTTATGTATGACCTGATAGTACAAAAACAACGTGTTGTGGCCCTATAAAAAGATTTTAAAGAAGACAAAACTATAAAAGATTTTACATTTTAATATAACATTTTTAAATGCATTAAACATTTAAAAAATTATTTAAGTTATAATAATATAATATGTATCACGAATGTGAATGAATTGTGTAATAACTAAAGAATTACACTTTTAACTGTGGCTAAAAAAAGTGACATTTCAATAGTTATTCGTCAGTAGAGGCCGATAATAAAGCGTTTACTCAGTCTGCTGGACGGAGGCTGCTGTCTTCTCATGTGCTGTGAGAACAAACACCATGATCGCTGCAGACTTGATTGCTCCGCACATTCATTCCTCTGATTTGAGCTCTGCCGAGTTAAAGCTGCCGCCTGACGTAACTTTCAAATCTGTTTATTTATTTATTTCGCAACGACACCGAGGCAACATTTTTCTTCTGGCTCCTAACATGAGCGGCTCGGTGCCGTACAGTCACCAGGGGGCATGCACATAGTAATAATAATAATCATGCATTTGAGAAAAGCCTGCTACGACGAGGCTCCATCGTTTCCACCGCTCCGCATGAACGCAGACACGGCCGTGGTGTGATGGAGATGTGCGTTTAGGTGCATGTGTCCGGCGGGACTGCCCCTGGCTTTTTTTCTGGGGAAGATCATATTGGATCATATTGTTTGCAGGACGTTGTTCCTCCTGCAGCCCCCCCAGTCTATCCCGACGTAGTTGTGAACTGAACATGGCGACTGTACCAGTATATTGCATCTGCAGATTACCTTACGACGTGACCCAGTTTATGATCGAGTGCGATGCTTGCAAGGACTGGTTCCACGGCAGGTAAGCCCGGATTGTTCACCGTGGTGTTTTTGTGACGGCTTGCATTTCTGGGAAATAAACAAAAATGGCGAGGTCTCGGTGCATTTGACAGCTTTGTGGCTCTCGGTCGCCCGTCTACATCTGAAGAGAGGCCGCTCGGAGAAGAAGAAGAAGGCGGAGTTAAATATAGCCGAGCGGGGTTGTGACATTTTTTCGCGAATAACGCAAAACAGAAACCCCCTTTTAAAAATACGCTGCTTTATAGCGTGATTTCAGTGTGGGGTTCGTCTATGAATTGCACTTAGTGGGTATTTAACATCCCCGCATAGCCCCAAACTCGCTGGAACTGCAACGAGTGGACGGCAGCGGGAGAAGCCTCGACCGACTCGGGTCTCATTTGTCTCCCGCTCCCCTTCCTCGCAGCCGCTGCCCGGGCGCATATCTCGCTTATATCGTCACTAAACGATGTCACATTCTGACTATTCTCCGAGCTCTGACCGGGTGTTTTCACGGGGACGGATGAAAATCACGACCCAAAATGTGAGCTCAGCCCCGCGCAGCCTTCCTGCCAAGGCAGCAGCTATGGCTGACAATAGCTAGTGCGGGTTGTCCTTAAGCTTTAGCGCGGAAAAGAGTCCAATTATTAACACTCAGCGAGCTGCTCTGTCATGACTTTGAGCTGTTGGTGTCTGCTGTTTTTGTTTCACTGTGATTAAACGGAGACGTGTCGCCCACCGCCGCTCGGCACTTTCCCCGCCGCACACAAGCTGTAGCGAATCCCTGCTGTCACATTGTCATGTTTCCCTCCTGTTGTCGGAGTTGTTGTTACAGGAGCGTGTCCCTGCACTCATCTGTGTCTCGGCATGTTTCACGCTGTTCGGCTGCACTCTGGGTGTCTTTCAGGGGACTGATCATTTGTTAATCGTGTTTCGTTTGGTGAACAAGCCTTTCACAGCTATAGACAGTATTTACGCGCCTGAACGTTAACCCTTTAATGCTCCGCCTGGCTGCCCGAGCTGTACGGAGCGTTATCACATAATGTGGTAGTGAACTGGAAGCTGTGGGTTAAGTCATGACCTCCAGTAACGCATCATCACAATCACCAGTATATGCAATATCATATACATATAACTTTGACATAATTACATCATACTGATGCTGCTTACTATGTCACAAACACTGTAAATGCTAACAAAATCCACCCGTTCAGGCTCCTGAGTTGGACATCAATTAAGGGGATATCTGAGGTTATTTAAGTCAATTTTAACATCTTAAAACTGTAATTGTTTTAATAATTAATTATTTATTGGTCATATACCGAAATGTAGTACTTATATGGTCAGTTTTGGGATGTCGTTGTTGTAGACTGTGATGTTCTATTTATTTGTCCCGTGTGTCGTCACCATATTTTTGATGTGAGGTGTCGTCGGATGATCACGTGGTGTTAATGGGAAAATGAAGTATATGAAAGTGACTCAATAACTAAACCTTGGGGGATCACGTGTAGTGTGATGCACCTCATCTATCTGTTTGTTACGTAGAGGAGGCAAAAGGTGCAGTTCATTGTATGCTGTAATCTGACATGTAGCATATGTGGCAAGAGAAGGTAATTACCTGTAATTACAGTGTCAAGCTGTAAAATTACCAGGTGGGTAGTTTGTGCAGTGTGGGCATATGATTACACTATTAACAGCACAGGTACACAGTAATGAAAATGTAGTAGTCTGTTAAATGAATGCCAAGATGATGTCAAATAATCTGATATATTGGAAAACATGCTTCGTCTGTTTGCTGTCATAGAGTCAGGTAAGAAGACTATCAGCTTCTCTGTGCATCCACTGTAGAGATGCATCTGAGTTGTGTCTAGTCCAGAGACTGTATATTTCACAAGCAAGAAAGACCTGCAAACCCAGGCCTAACAAAACTGAAAAAGTATAACTATAACTCTGGCTTCATCATGCATGAGTCACAGCAGTGCCCAGAAGAGAGCTGTTATGATGCGGCATGCAGCTATTGTGTCCAGCTGTTGTTGATTAGGAAATAGCAGAAACAGTAACTGCTGCTAAAATCACGGTGTCCTGCCAGAGGTCTTTGTGCTCAGTTACACTGTGGTACTCCTCCCGTAGTAATTAACACAGGCAGGTTTATTGTGAATTGGGTGAGACTGAAGATGAAATCATTTAATATTTTGTTGTCTATTGTTTGATGACTTGAGGGATACTCTTTTTTTGCAAAATGTCTTCAATATCTGATAATGTGTTTTGGTTGGATGCCTGTAAGAAACTTGAGTTATGTTTTAGAAAGGGAACTTTTCATTTGGCAGAGTTTATCTGCAGAGCATCGACAGAAGACAAAGCTTACTTGCTGTGCATACAGTAGGTACGAGTAAACTATAAATACATTTACGAGAGTACTTTTATATACAAAACAGGCTCTTCTACCAAGTCTGTGCAGTGTGACAGAGATGACAGCAATAAATGTATGAGAAAAAGTTATGGTGACGTATACAATCATATGTGTGCTCCTGTCCTGGGAATATTTCATGGGAGCTATAGTGTTTTGAATGCTACCAATTAATCATTGTTTAATTAATAGCTGAAATTCAAATAGCATGTGGATAGTATGGATATGAACACCCAGGAACATGTTTCTGTTTTTAAGAAACATGAAAGGATTTATGAGTCTGATAGTTTGCAGTGAGTAAAAAACATAAAGAGAAGTAAGTAAAGAAAACAAAGTGCAAAGGAAAGAGAATTTACAGTGAACAAATCATGATGTACATGAAGCATATGACTTGTTTGTCAGTAAGCACACTTCCACTCCACAGCAGATTAAAAAAGGGGAAAACGAAAACATCAAACATCAGGTTTGAGTAGACTGGTGAAAAGACTGTAGAGTACTGTAACTAAAACATTAAACAAATATATATATTTCATTTGTTTTCCTCATGATTTTATACTGTTTCAGATTTTACCGGTACTCTTCATCTTATTGCACCTTCTTAGTCTGAGTTTTAATGCACCTGAGTAGATGCACCATCACTTAATGCACCTCTCAATTTTTACATTAAGTCACCTTTTAGTTTGCCAGTTTTCTGAACACTGCGTAAATATTTGCATTATGAAAAGTTGACTATCGTCCTCTGCGCTGGCGAATAACTGAGGCATTATGTTTTCAGGTTGTCTGTCCTGCCCATTCTCTTCAATGTGATATCTCAGGAATTCCTTGATGGAATTTCTTCATATTTGGCACAAATGTCCACATGAACTCAAGGATGAGCTGAAGAGATTATGGTGGCCAGAGGTCATGTACCCTCACAGCTATTTCTTTCATGTGAATCTGGCTGGTTGGTGGAGGTATACAACTTCAGCATGGTAATTCTAGTTTTAGCTCTGTTTTGGTATCTAGTAGCCCCATTTGGAAATGTCTCATCCAGTCTGAGATGCCTCCCACTGTAAAGTTTACAAAAGCATCTGTGCACTGTTCTTGATTGTATGTGTAGAGCTTTATCTGATACACACTTGCAGACCTAATACCCTCATTCCCTAGTGTCCTCTTTCTTGAGGCCATTTCTCACTGATACATACCTGCTGGTTTAGAAATGCCAACATTAAAGCATCAGTCTCTTCTCCAAGCAAAGGTGAAGTCCCTATTTTACCTGTAAACCAGCATGAGTGAGGTCCCTGACCGCAAACAGGTCGACCCTCTCCCCAGACAGTACAGACATCCTTGTACTTTTATTTTTTGTTTTAAGATTTTGTTTATACATTAGATGTCTTGAGTGTTGTTTTCACCCAATACTATGGGCAACTATGGTTTATGTGTTCTTTAAGTTCTTTAGTAATTAATGGAAGCAAACTTATATAACAGACTGGGGCACTCAGACCAAAAGGCAGGTGTAAATCGGTGCTTCCCGGTTTTTAAATTCTTAACCTGTCTATACTCCCGTGTCCAAGTGTATATTTATAGTGCAGCATCTTCTTGCAGCCACGGTGGGTTCTGGTTATTTTTTAGAACAGCATTGCCAGTGGGTATTTATCCCACAGTGGTTACAGGAGGAAACCCATTCTGACCAGAAATGGTCCTGGACAAGTAATGTTTTGTAGAGCTGGTTCATCAGAGCTTAAAGCTGCCATTTACAAGATTGATGAGAGACGTGACACTGAGCCAAAGAGTAAATGTGTTGGACAACCAAATCAATGAGCTAAAAGAAACTAAAAAGCTCTGCAGAACTGCAGAGTTGGATGAATACACCATGTAGTTGAAATAGAATATTGATCAGTGTCAATAATTTTGTCCAGTCCATGTTTAGAGTTCTGTGTAACGGATCAGATTTGGCTTTTTCTCTGCGTTCTGTGTTGCTCCACTGCAAACAAAAGAAATAAACATGACAATACCAAAGTATCTGTGATTGCAGCATTTTTCTGGGAGAAGTGGTGCCTTATCTGACAGAAATGCAGCGGTGCCAGTATTTTTAGCCATGGTGTGAATATTTCTTCCACCACATTTCCACACTTCCTGCAGCTGCTTCACAGTAAAAGCCTTCTGGTGGTTTTCAGGGGAAAGGAACCTCAAGAACTGCTGAGTGCAGTGGCAGGACATTAAGACTTCCTTGCAGCTCTGATCACACAGGTTAGAAGCTAATTCCATCAAGTGAGAATAAGGACAGGAAGTTACTAAAACCAACATCAACAGTTAAGTTGCCAGATGGGCAAGACTACTGAAAAGTGACAGTTGCACCTTCTGTGTGGTTATCTGCATGACCATTCAATGACCCAGTTAGTTTGCTGTAGCATCAATACACCTGTATTTTTAATAATATAACAAGACACACTGTATCTGTCATATCTCATCTGTCATGTCTGCTGTTGTATTCTATGTAGATGACAAAATGCCTGAGCTCCTGTGATTTTTCATGCAATTTTTTCATATTTCAGCTTTTAAAAATATAAATTACAAAAAAGAAACTTTAATTTAAAATTAATTTTTATTTCATATGAGTCTGATAAAATCCACGCAGC